ACTCATGTCCTGATTCTAAAAAATTTACAGAGAATTTGGGTTGTCAGATAGTCAAACAAAACGGCAACTAAAATGTAATCTTAAAGTCATGCAAAAATAAATATAACTCTACCACACACGTGCTCTACAAATGTGTAGCATTTGAGTGAAAGTGGGATTTTTACACACATAGAATAGTTTGTATTTGTATATGTGTTGAGTGAGTATTTGCTTTGCTTGTTTTCTTTGATATGGGTAAAGATTTTTACACTGGCCTTCCATAGCCAGATATCTTCAGACATATTAGGATGAAAATGTGGGAAATCCAAGGTCAAAATGTGCTGTCTAAGAGAAGTGGGAATCATTGTTACTGTGATAAAAAGCATTTTGATTTATTGCTTCAAAATGGGACTGTAAAGCAGGCACACTGACCAACACTGCTATTACAAGCTGTCATAAATGTTACATTCACCTGGCCTGCTAAACAGTTTGTATTACAGTCATCTAGCTTAATTGAAAAGGTGTCGACTATTGTACTGTTAAAGGTATTTTGAGCTTAAAATGGCATTCAGCAGTCGCTTTTGTTACTTGTTTTGAACAAGTAAACAAAAGTCCTAGTTTTACATAGCCTTGTATCGAGTAGGTCTGCACATAACGTAGGTGATGAGATTGTGTTACTTTTTTAGCTTATTCCAAATTGGAAGCTTTGTTGAGCTAAGTGTGTTGAGTTTTAGTTTAGTTTAGTTTTTTTCGGTTCAGTTCAATGAACGTTAGCTTTGCCATACTTGGCTAACATCCTCTGTATGTGAGATGAGATCTTACAGTATGTTTGCACTACTCCCCAAGTACTTTACTTTCATATAATATTCCTTACAAATCCCACATGTCACATCCATATGCTTCATGTTTAAAAAAATAAATATGTCCATGGATCTAATTCAAATGTGGATGATACTTTTCAGATTTTTTTATTTTTTACTTTGCCTGATCCCTGCGTCCACCTTGGGTTTACCAACTTCCTACTGTGCGACTGACGTTACCTCGCTAGAAAAATCATTAAGCTCAATGGCACCATCTGGTGAAGTGAAAAAGTAATTGGTTTTATTATTCTACTGCTGACAAGTTACTTTTTATTTGAAACCATATGATATTGTATCGATATCTGGTGTCTTTGTTTCAACACAGCATCACCATATGTTATATCATTCGATTGCTGTATCGATTGCTGTATTGATTTTTTTTTTTTAATTACCCAGGCTAACATTAGCTAGTAAAATATTACGTTTATGCCAAGCTTGTGCTTTGTAAGGTCCTTATCGCTGAAAGTATCAAGCACACAAATGCACATGTAGCTTCTTTTTCTTCTTTTTTTTAATCCTTTATAAAAGAAATTCAACTACAGCTCAAAAAGCATGATTGCATCAACAATCTGCTGAATGATGAAGCCTTTTTTTTCCTCCTGGGAAATCACACCTCAGTTTATCTTATGAAGAATTCAATTAAAAACTGCCCTCAGCAGGGGCGGAGCGTGGGGGTGGCTTACTGGGCTTAAGCCCGGGTTGTTTTGTCAGAGCCAGCCATACTAAGGAGAGCTTAAGTTTGACCAGGTACCAAAGCAAATCATTCGTACCGTACAAATAATGTAAATATGACGGTGAATCACGAAAGATTGATATCAAACTGATCACTTGACCAATATTACGTTACTCGCTCTTCAAGTGAATCAACAAATGGCGAAATGAAAAGCCGAAGAAATGCTATTTTTTTTAGAGAGTCTTAGCTTACGTGTGTTTATTTCATATTTTCAGTTCTTACCCTCCCCGACTAAATCGGTTTCAGTAATGCACTGAAATATAAGAATGGACATTAGAGGGTTCTTTCAAAGAAAAAACTCAGGTAAATGTTATTTTATATATTATGCTTTGTATGTTGTTCAGTATATTTCTATGCAAAACAAGAGGGATTTCAGTACACAGCAGGATATTCACATTTGTAACCAGATATTTACATACACTTTAGGGAGAAAACATAAAACATTTTTACTGTACAACATTAATTTAGAGTAAACTTTTGTTTTAGATAAATATTGAAATGTCTTTTGAATTAGTTAAATGTCAGAATAAAGAGAGACAGAGCTGTCTATTTGTTATCACTTTCATCAAATTTAGGAGTACATGTACGCTAAGTTTATTGTTAATTAATAAGAAAACTCCAGCCGATTCCATTCTGAGCTGAAGAAGCTTCTGATAGGTTAGTAGAGTCCATGTGAGTAAACTGGTGGCACAGCTGTGGATGCATATAAGGCAAAACACAGAGCCTGTTTCTGTGACATGGGAACATCAAGAGATGTCAACCAAAACACCAGGAAAAGAATTGTGGAGCTCCATAAGTGTGGCTCAATTTTGAATACAATTTGGTGCCATTTGCAATTAAGAAATACAGATAGTTTCTCTCTTTACTCTTAAAGTTAACAAATATGTTTTTTATATTTATCAATCTAAAAAAATAAACATTTAGTCTGATTTGATGTTACAATTAAAAAAGTGTTTTTATCTGAAGAGTTTGTAAATATCTGGTTTCAACTGTATATTTGATGATTGTCAGCACAAAGAGGGAGAGAGAGGAAGAGAGAGGAGAATGAGGACAGAACAGAGATGGAACAAGAGCAGGTGAGACACACATGTTAGTCAAATGGTTGTTTACCAAAAGTATCACCGTATCATAGGTACTCATGTATCTCGTACCGAGTGTTTCTTTTTAGGTTTGCTATTTTTCAAATTCTATATTTACTAAGTTTGGCAGCTTGTTTGCACAACAAGGCTAAATAATTATATAAACTTTTCTCAATCTAAATAGTGGACTTTGGTAGAATTAAAAAATAAGTGTAGTGCAGGTCTATGATGATTTTTAGTGCTACTATCATCTAGTTCTGATTCTGGTTCTGTCTTGGTTAAATCCTAAGTAGTCCTGATTTTGAACTGTTGTAGTCCTGTTTTAATTCTGGATCAGTTCTGGGTCTGGTTGAATTGGGGTTTAGTCCTCGTGTCTTGATACAGCCCCGATTTTGTTCTGCCTTGCTGCTTAATTAAAAAACTAGTTTAAGGTGTCCTGCACATGTGATATATATTTTTCCCTATATGAAGTCATTCTTTTTTGAACAAAACTCAAAACAGAGCCAATTAACCTTTTCTCCCCCCCCCCAAAAAAAAAAAAAAAAATCCCACATGCATACTACCCTTTAGGTTCTAAGCCCCGGGTGTTTCAAATGTCTGGCTCTGCCTCTGGCCCTCAGCCTTCTGTTCCAAACCAGCGGTGTCAGCTGCTCATAAACTGTGTGAAATCTGAGTTTATCTCTCTGAATTTACTCTGTAATTCATTTGATTTGTTTAATAGTCTGGTTTTAATAAATTCCTCAGCTGCTTGCAGTCATTTTGTGGCACTGTTTCTGAATGTAGATGAATGTGTGACCATGTCTTAGTCCTGAAAGCTGTGCAGTGTGATCTTAACCGAATAACAGTGTAACAAGTAATTTGCAGTAACTTTTTATTGTGATTTTTTTTTTTCTTTTTATATGCTGACAGGTCGATTCTTCCCTCTGATGGAGGAAAAAACCAAAAAAAAACAAAAAAAGTTGTGATTATGTCTGTGTAAACCACATTAGAGCACTCAAATCTGTGATAAAGAGAAAATTTGCTTCATACTTATTGATTTCTGACTCAGAAACTTGATTATTACTATAACTCATTGTTCTACATCAGACTTTCAGCTTCACCTTCTTTATCCTTCATAGAGCAATGACATGAAATTTACACCCCAGGGGCCAAATCAACCCAGTAATAGGTTGCCATCTGGCCCGCAAACAGTTTTCTGTTTTACTAAATGAAACTGACTGAAGAGGATCAAAGCTTTGTTTAATGTTGTGTTAACTCTTTTCAATGTAACCACAGTATTTTTACCTGTAGCTTTAGAATAGATAGAAATAGATTATTAGGTGTGGGTGACATAGCCTCCAAATTATATCACTATATTTCAAGGAAATTCTGATAATATTTCTGACAGTAATGGGAGAAAACATTATTGGAAGCACTTTTTGGTGCTTCCAGCTTACGGGCAGTGGTATTTAGTGGTATTTATTAGTGTGAATAAAAATAAAGGACAGTTTCCATCCTTCTTTTCCAGTGAGTTCATGCCATGTTGACAGAGTACCTGATTCAAAGGGAGAATCTGTTGCTACAAGGCACCAGCAGCAGCAGTACAGTGCAATAGCAGTGACACATTAAATTAAGAACAAAATTAGCCTTCGTACTATTTTCTTTGTAAACTTTAAATCAAATTTGCATAACTGCTAAATACTTTAACCCCTTAGCAGTCCAATTAGTCCCCTAAACCATCCAATGTACCGTGGGCGGTACGTCCGACTGCTAACAGGTTAACAGAAAAGTAACTTAATCATGTAACTCCTGAGGAGTCGGCACAATAGTGTGAAAGTTGAAAAATATGTTGTACCTGGAGTGTTTGATCTTGAGATGAGCTTGTTAAAAGCTGCTTAAAGCCCACACATGACCAGCTAGCATATAGCTAGCATGTCCGCCTTCATAGACTAGATGTTTTTGATGGTGTGTTTTTTGCCTCAAGTGATGAAACAAGTTTGTTGTTTCCACCTTTAGCAGGAACAGTTTTGTTGCATATTTTGTAAAACGTTGAGCTTTCTTGGAGGTTGTTGTAGTAACTCCCTGCTCCTTTTTTACTAAATTGTCATCAGAGTCACACTCAGCTCTCCTTGTTAGTAATGCCTGGGTTATTTTTGTCATTGTGTGCACTAAGGAGCATAAACGCTTGATATCGTTTGATATCATGATATGATACTTTCATATCGCATCATTATACTGGTATTATCAGGCAATATAGTATGGCACCTGTGTATTAACTTATCAAGTTAATAATAATGACATGAACTAAACTATGTTTGGTTTTTATTTATTTAGCCTTTGCTCACATACATTTCTTTTAATTCTTGGCAGGTTTGAGGACCTCTGATCATATAGGCTTGCCTGGTGGCCAATCAGGCAACAGCCAGGCTCACTAAGGAGGGAGACATACAGTGAGACTGGGAGACGTTTTTTTTTTTTGAGCACACCAGCACTGCTTTACCCACCTCACGTCAACCTCAGCGTCATGTCTATCCCCAGCGGCAGCCCGGAAAGAGAGAGCTCTGGTGGGGCTCCCCCTCAGCTGGAGTGCCCTTCCTCCCCACCTGGCATGGATCCAGATCCCTCATCGAATGGCAGCCCTGTGCTCAGCCCAGACTCCTCTTCCCACGATGCAGTGCTGTCAGCACCTGCAGCCTCCCCAGCAGACTCCGAGAACTTGAGTCCTGATGAATTAGAGCTGCTAGCCAAACTGGAGGAGCAGAACAGGTAAGATCAGTAGTTGTCATTGTTGTGTTAAGCTTTTAAACTGAAAACACAGCAGTTTTTTAGCTTCAATGTGGCCCAGGATTTATTAACTATTTGACTTTTTTTTTCTTGTATAGGAAGCCAGTCAAATCAAAGTCTTTGTAACAAACCTTGTAGCACCATATCAGACTAAAAAAAAAAACAACTGCATGAGAGCTGCAAGTTTAATTGCAGTTTTCACAAGAAAATGAAAACTGCATGTTTAAGAACCCTGTTTATGTTTGATGCACTGATTGAGGCATGTGCAAAGTGTTATAGCAGCACAGCATTGTTATCAGAATGCGGTAGTCTCTTTTTGCAGAAAATCTTCCCCAAAAAATCTGCTTCCGCCTTGATTTAACACGGAGATGCCTGAAGAGATTCGCCTGTTCACAGGGAGATGAAGCTGAAAAGACACTAAAGCGTATTGCATGCCAGCAGTTATGACTTCACATTTGGCACACACCACTGAGCACAAGGACAACAGTGAGGATGAACTGCTGTTAGAGTCACCAGGCAAATCTAATAAAAAACACTTAAAAAGATTGGCAACTTTGGCCCAAAATAAGCATTTTTTTTCCTATGCAGATTTACTCACTATTACATTGTCAATATCTGCCTCATCTCACCTGAAACTCTGAATGAATGTCTTGGTAATTGAAAAATTGGAAAATTACTATTATGTTCATGCCTGTGAGTGTATGTAAACTTCTTACCACAACTGTAGATACTGTGAAGGAACGAGCTGGTTAGGCATGAAGTCACAGAGCAGTTACAGAAAAAGTAGATTTTATTTTATCTAAAATTGCCAAGAAAACCCAACAAATTTTTACAAAAGTTAAAATATTTTTATGAATCCTTGAAAGAGATCAAATAAATAGCTAAACTCAAGTTGTGTTATATAATCCCCTGTTCAGTGTTGGGAAGGTTACTAAAATGTATTCCACTACAGATTACAGAATACATGCCCCAAAATGTATTTTGTAACGTATTCCGTTACATTACTCAATGAGAGTAACATATTCTGAATACTTTGGATTACTTAATAATATATTATCATGCTTTTTACAACTACATGACTGTACTATTGCTGTGTGATTTATTACTATTACTGAAGGCTACTCGCCATACCAATACCAACTAGATTTTTAAATCTTAATATAAAATGAGTAACAGTAGGGTGGACATTAGGTAAGGCTGCACTTTTTGCGGCGATCACAAACTATTCAGCACGTATATAAAACAGGTCCCATAGTAAAGGGACCTCTGGCTAATACGTCGGGTTGCGTGTCGGGCTGGTAACCGAAAACTAGCTTTACTTTGTTGTCTGGGTCACCTTTGCTAGCGAGAGGCAGAGAGAGGCGTTGAAAGGCTGCTCCAACAGAACTTATTGTTTCGGAGAAAAACACGAACACAGTGTACAGTCGAGTCTTAATAGCTTACTTACAACTGGGCTACACTGCCCATGAGGCTACATTCTTTAGGGCTATGCCTGTAACTACAGCTGGGCGATAGAACGATAACGATATGTACGATATAACTTTTACTCGATAGAGAAATTAAGCTATCGCGATAGACCTCGCCGCTCTTGTCCTCTTAATTTGGATTGGCTGACCTTTTTTTTTTTTAAGTAGCGCAGAGCCGAACCAATCACAGCCGCAGCATCACGTCGCGTGACTTGTTACATACAGCACAAGTGCCAAGCCGCACGTGTGTTTGTTTGGGAAGCAGCCAGCGGGTAATGGAGCCAGCGCGTAATGGAGGAAATGAGTGTGCCGACTAGAAAAATCAACCGAGCGTGACCGAAGAGAAAACAGATGATGGTTCCAATGCCGGAGAGATTGTCGAACGAAAGAGCCATAGAAGTTCCGTAGTGTGAAGGTATTTCGGCTATTTCAAGTCTGACAAAAAACAGAGTAGCGTGCACTGTAAATTGTGCCGAAAGCAAGTCTGGAAATACAATGAACTGGTGCATGCGTCACACTGTGCGCCACGTTATTGTTTCGGTGAAATGAATTTCTACAATACTGTTACTGTTAATTCTACTCTCTGCAGTGTTTAAATGCTTACATATACACACAGTTACTGTCCGTCCACACATACGACTCGGTTCTGCTTCTATGCCCCAGCTTTGTTTACTTTTTCCCACCGAGGCTTCTAGACTTCTGATTGGCCAACATTTCTGCACGGTTAGGAATCTAGCGCCACCTGCTGCTTTGGCATGTTCATAGCAGCGTTTTCTTTCATTTCTCCCTTTATGTGTGGACGGGATTATTTTTTAAAACGAAAACGGAAAATCTCAGTTTTCAAAAATACCCGTGTACGTTTGGACGTAGCCTCAGTCTCTGACTGGAAGCGCTAATTCGTCATTCGGCTTTTGTCAGACTAAAGTAACTGTTAAAACTGTTTGAAAAGCTCAGCTATACAACAAGGAGAGATTGAGAATTTCCTTTTAGTTCTCAGTTTATTTGATATTGACAAAAGTTAGTCAGTTTTGTCTGTTTTTCTGTAACACAAACTAAGATTTATTTTTAGAATTAATATTTTGTTTCTAAGTGGAATTGACAATTTAGTCTGTTTCATTTGTTCTATTTTGAAACTTAAACGCTTTAGTGGCTGCCTTTTGTGTAGTTTGCAATATTTGCCGTTATCTATCTGAAAAAGTCTCATGTTCCTTAAGTACATCTACCCTGTTGAACTTATTATGGGAAATAAATATTTAAATAAAAACAAGCTGCTGATTATTTCACATTTTACTTGTGAGCAACGGCACATTTAAATCTTACAAATACAGTTATTTGGCTTATATCGTGATAGATATCGTTATCGCCTGAAATGAAAAAAACATATCCTGATATGAAAAAATCTCATATCGCCCAGCTCCACCTGTAACACTCTGCCTATTGCCTTCATATTAAATAATTTTTTGAACAATAATTTTTACAAATATTTTGTCACATCATTATGCGGGCCGCAAGTAGAGGTGACAAGGGCCGCAACATTGAAACACAGGCTTTAGAGGCTCTTAATGCGTGTTTTGTTTGGGTTTCCACCAGCGTGGAATTACCAAAAATACAGAGGGGACAGCCTAACATATGAAACAGGAAAAGACCCCTGTGTAATCCCTTTTTTTTTTTCTTTTTTTTTAAACAAAGTAACCGTATTTGGAATACCACCTTTTAAAATGGTAACTGTAATGGAATACAGTTACTCATATTTTGTATTTTATATACGTATTCCATTACTCCCCAACGCTGCCCGTGTTAATATTACAACTAACTGCTCAAACAGAACAGACCCAAAATCAGCTTAAACAAACCAAAGACTGACCCAACAAACAAGAGACAAAGGAGAGATAAAAATACTGCCTCATCCGATCAAATGAGAGACACAAGAAGAACATACACTCTAACAAATGAATTCATTAGAAGGAAACAAACCCAAGAGTTATAGTTATAGTAACTATTGGTTACTTTATATTAACTTAAATTAATTAGAACTAAAGTCAAGAGTCCAAGGAAATAGTCCTGGATTCCTGGGCATTCCAGGACGTCAGCAGCTAAACGGACTCCACGGCATACTAAGGTTAAACTGTGTACCACAAATAGAACCAAGGTATTTCAATAAATGCTAAACAATTACGAGAATGATGTGCGATATCAAAGATTGTGTTGTCAAGTTTGTGTTCGTGGAACTCAATTATGATGAGAGGTTCCCTGCAGCAAGGAGCCTTCATGGTGTTACGGCTTCTTTCTAGGGTTGTTAAAGTTCACATATGGAACAGAAAGGAAACACACAAAGGTACATCTAGATAGAAATTCGCATTGAAATTACCATTTTTGACATCCAAGTGTAATGGAGTCAGGCATGATGGAAAGTAGGATTTATAGCAAATATAAAACTTTTCTGGTTTTCTGATTAATACAGCTGAATTGTGTAGCCTCTGTTAATAGTCACGATAGCAGGAGGGTCACATGAACCACCATGGGGTTCACTCAAGACCAACTTTCTTTAGAGAATAAAATTTTATAATCAAAAAGGATTAAAATAAGATACTTTGCAATTTCTATGTTGTGTGTTACTTCAGGAAGCTCTGTGTTTCAGGATCTATTTTTCCAGGGATAAATTTGAAAATTTCTTTTCTTGGCTTCAGAGAAAATAATTGTTGTTGGTTTTTATTCAAGGTTAAGGTTTAATCTGTGTTAGGTAATGTTTAATCCCACACAACCAGGAGCACTAGCCTTTGCATTGGAATTTGTATTTATAAATGTGTTACCTTAAATAATCCACCACTGCAGAAGGAGTGTTTTCATTAGGCTGTATTTACTGCCATCAAGCTAAAATCCCAAGAAATCACATTGAGAAGAAGAACAACAGTAGCACATTTTCAGCTTCACAGCCAGTCCCAGCAGAATGGTCAGAGTGCTGGACGGAGGTGTAAAGTGACTTAAAAGAAACCGACATTTGAGGTCAAAGTGGACTGAACCTTGGAGTAAAGAGCTGCCCTTCTTAATCACATCACCTCTGCATTTTGCTGCCCTGCTGTACAGCAGACTCCACAAGGACTTAAAGGAAATCACTCGCCCCAGCCTATATTTGAGTTAGAGTTCTTCCAAATTCAAACTCATAGTTCAGGAGCATTTTAGCTTTAGCTTAGCATATAACCATTAAACGCCCTTCCCACCTAAATAAATGAATAAATAAACCAAGGGGAACATGCCTTGCAGCTGCTGGTGCCTCTCTAAATTTAGCATTTTTTGCAATGTCACATTCTGCCTCTCGCTCTCGCTTATCTTAGCTTAACTCTCCAGTGTGTAACATAAATAAGCTCTCCTGTGTGATCAGTCATAAATTCAGCTTCCTGTTCTCATAATCTGTGTCTTCACGCAGGTTGCTGGAGGCTGATTCCAAGTCCATGCGGTCAATGAGTGGCTCGCGACGCAACAGTGGCTCCTCGCTGGTCTCCAGCTCCTCGGCCTCCTCAAACCTGTCGCACCTGGAGGAAGACACGTGGATCTTATGGGGCCGCATCGTCAACGAATGGGAGGAGTGGAGACGCAAGAAGGACAAACTCCTGAAGGTGAGGGGAGAGTCTGGCACTTGAAGTGGAGAATGAAGTATTTGGAAGGCACATGTGGTTTTTTTTCACTGAGAATGAGTCACTGAGTGCGATTCAAAATAAGAACACCAGTAAGGAAATTATGAGCCTCCTCATTTTATTTTTATAGTTGGCGGGTCACATTTCACAAGTCAATTTTCCAATTTGTTTCCTAATGTCTGACTCATATTCTAGTTTGCTTTGTTTTTTTTAAGTGGCTGGTTGGTCATTTATAGCTTTGCTCACAGACTATGACTGGTTTATTTCTATTCGTGAAGTCACAGTGGGTCTCCTTTTTCTAGCTGTCTGCAAGTGTGCTCAAAAATGTCTCACAGTGTTACCCTCAAATTCAGCACAAACAAAAACACTATTGGTATGAAGCTGTCTTTTTTTGTTTGTTTGTTTTTAATACAGTAAAATACCAATAATCCCCTCTATCTGCCCTCTGCCTCCCATCCCTCTCTTTGTCTCTCTGTGTCCTCCATCACAAAAAGACTAAACCCCCAGGGAAGACAAGACGGATGAGAGAGGACACAATAAAAATGAGTCAGGGGAACCTGGGAGCTCACACAAACCAAGCAAAAATCTATAAGCAGGCTATAAATGCTGAAAATAGAAAATAGCAATCCATCATAATTTACAACTGAGTGTGATTACAAAACGATGCTAGATTGTCCTTGTAAATATAAATCTGTTAGCGTTTCATAATTGAGTTTGCGTTGATGTCTTTTCTTCTGACGTGCTTTAATATCTGTAAAATGACATCTTTCAGTATATAAAGAGGCTGGGTATTAATAATAATAATGGATTGCATTTATATAGCGCTTTTTGGGGCCCTCAAAGCACTTTACAATTCCACTATTCACTCACACACCGATTCACACACCGGTGGAGGCAAGCTACAGTTGTAGCCACAGCTGCCCTGGGGCAGACTGACAGAAGCGAGGCTGCCATATCGCGGCTCGGCCCCTCTGGCCATCAGCAGTAGGTGAAGTGTCTTGCCCAAGGACACAACGACCGAGACTGTCCGAGCCGGGGCTCGAACCGGCAACCTTCCGGTTACAAGACAAACTGCCAACTCTTTGAGCCACGACCGCCCTGTACTCTATTTTAATATCACTCGTTTCACTCTCTCTGTCTTCCAGGAGTTGATCAGAAAGGGCATTCCTCATCATTTCCGGGCCATCGTGTGGCAGCTTCTGGGCAACGCCACAGACATGCCGGTGAAGAACCAGTACTCTGAACTGCTGAAGATGTCCTCCCCCTGTGAGAAGCTAATCCGCAGAGATATCGCCCGCACCTACCCTGAGCACGAGTTCTTCAAAGGCCAGGACAGCCTCGGACAGGAGGTCCTCTTCAATGTCATGAAGGTGAGAACTGCAGCGTTTGATCACCTCAAGGTCTGAATTTATCAGGGGGAGGGGCTTTTTTTGTGTTTTTGAAACATGGTTTATCATCTGTAAAAACGGACTTATTTACACTGTGAGCTTTGAAATATGTGTATTGGTCACACTGGAGAAAAAATAAGACCAAACCAAAAATGGTTACAAGCACTAAGCGCTGATTTTGGTTGAGCCGCAGTCTTCAATCACTCTGTAGTGTCACTGTAGCACAACAGATGGATGAACAGTCAACTTTCTGGAATTTCCTTCACTTGCTTTCTTAAATGACACATCTACAAATAAATGTCTGGACAAGAACGACTAATATGGATATGTTGATTTGACAGTGGTGTGAAATTATTGTATTTAGCTATTGTATTAATATATTTTTTAAATTCCGACTTTATTTCAGAATGACAGGAAGTGCTGTGTAGTTTTAATGAAACCCTAACATGCAAAACTAAAAGCCATTTTTAAACCTTTAATCTTTCTGCAACAAATGGAAGGATTTGATTGGCTGTGTCTTTTTGATCAGACTGAGTTTTACCTTCGTAATGTGATTTTTGTTCCTGGGGAGAAAAACAAATTGCAGAGACACACAAAAATGTGGAAATATGTTTACTATCATGGAGACAAGCTCGTTTCCTGTCTGCAAATCAGTCGAGCTCCCTTGTAGCTGAGCTGCTCAGGAAATGAAGGGACCTCTGTTGACTTGTTGGTCCTGTCGCTAGGTCTGATTGTCCTGTCACAAATAAAGATGTATTTTTCTAAACATACAGAACAAAGTAACTGAAATCTGTTGTGTGTGTGTGTGTGCATCCTTTTTTTCCTTTTTTCAGGCGTACTCTCTGGTGGATCGAGAGGTGGGCTACTGCCAGGGCAGCGCATTCATTGTTGGATTGCTTCTAATGCAGGTAATTGTCAAACGGTGTCCTGCAGGAAACTGAACCATAAGAGAATATTTTTGCTTCAAGGCTCAGCACATTTTATCTGTAAACAATGTCTCTATTATAGCCACAGTTTTTTATGTAGCAGGTCTTTGAAAAATTAAAGTGCAGTTAATTTGTTTTTTGAGATGGTGTATAATACAGAGTCCAGCACAGTTTGATTTCTAACAATCTTCTCGCCTTCTCCCAGATGCCAGAGGAGGAGGCCTTTTGTGTTTTTGTTCGTCTGATGCAGGAGTATCGCCTGAGGGAGCTCTTCAAGCCCAGCATGGCAGAGCTCGGTCTCTGCATCTACCAGTTTGAATATCTGCTACAGGTAAAAAGGAAGCAGGAGCGTGCATCTAAAAAACGATAAATGTTGCAGTGTGAACGCTCTCCACAAAGGGGCAGCAGATCTTTCTTTTCTTTTTTGTTTTTTTAATCTCCAGCACATCACTTCCTTTTCAGGCATGTTCTCTTGGGTCTATTTTAGTTTTTTGAGATGTTAACTTTCTTTACTGTTTTTGTTTTTTGTTAACATTTGCGATTTCAGGAGCAGCTTCCAGAGCTGAATGTCCATTTCCGGTCCCAGAGTTTCCACACTTCCATGTATGCCTCATCCTGGTTCCTCACGCTTTTTCTCACCTTTCTCCCTCTTCCTGTCGCCACACGCATCTTTGATATTTTCATGTATGAGGTAAGAAATATACAAAGCATACAAAATATCGAAAGATTGGTTATAACTGTGGATATGTTCCACCTTACTAATTGTGTTTTT